AGTAGTAGCAGTAGCAGTAGCAGTAGTAGTAGTAGTAGTAGTAGTAGTAGTAGTAGTTGTAGCAGCAATAGTAGTAGTAGTATTAGTAGTAGTAGTAGTAGTAGTAGTAGTAGTAGTACCAGTACTAGTATTAGTACTAGTAACAGGCATAGTGGTGGTGACGGTGGTAGTACTTGTTTCGGTATTGGTTCTAGTATTGCTGTTCCTAGTGAGGTGGCACACTGTTTAATGCGTGCCCCGCCAGTCCACTAGGTCCTTGAATAAACAACATCCCCCCTCACCCGCGGGGTCGACTAGTCAGTATGAAGTACGTCTTACAGACACTGATGGTATAGCCGTACTGAGTCTGAGGAGAGTTTAAGGGGATTGAGGAGGGTTAAGGGGGTCTATGTTGCAAGAGCCAGCAGCATGGTCTGAAGGGTTGAAGCCTGGTTATATCAGTACTGTTCCAAGTGTCTCCTGAGTGTTGCTAGGAGGTCTTCCGGGTGGGTTCAAGGGTGGTTAAGGATGTTCTGGGGCGGGGGGGATTGGCGGTATAGGGGCTGACGTTAGGTCATTTAATTTAGGAGACGGAGCTTGAGACTTTTCAGGCCAGGCCTTGAGACTGGCCTTGAGCACCCTCTTAGCAGCAGTTGTCGTAGCGGCAGTCGTCGACGTAGTAGTAGTGGTAGTTGTATCTTCAGATCGTGGAACCTCCTTTCTCGAGAAGCAACAGGGCCGCATGCCTGGACTCGAGCAGCGCCATTGTCGGAAGCCTTGCCAAACAATGAGTTTTTCGACTCAAAGAGCGTCCTAGGGTGCCCAGGATCTTCGGGCTGCCGCTTAAAGAGCCGGGTTCAAGTTTGACGCAGGCGTGAAATGAGGGGCTTCCACACCCTCCCTGCCTTCGTCAGTCGAAGACAAGATTAGGGCTCAGAGGTGATCTGATCAAGGCTGGACAGAACAGCAAAAGAAGTGAAGGCAGAGACCCAATGAACTGGGATCCCGCCGAAACTCTGCAAGGAACACCGGTCCGATGGCGAGAATAGCAGCGAGGCAGGTGGGCAGTTCAGAGTGAAGGCGCGCGTGGGACCTTGCAATGCGCTTCCCAGGCCGACTTGGCTTTGAATGTGGTGCCTTCGGAGAAGAGTGGCCGAGACATCAATCGCACAAGGCGGAAGCATCAAGCACACGAGGCGCGGGCCTTTGCTGTCCGAATTGCCGCATGTGTCATTTTGCTGCTGCTCTTTCTGTTTTCGTATCGGCTGTTGCTGTAGCTAGTGTGTTTTACTCCCGCCCCCCGCTCTGGTGTGAGCCTTGGTACTTGTGCCCGTTCGTTTTTTGGAAGTTCATGATCTATGCAATAGGCCCCATACCTGCGACTCTTAGCATTTTTGAGATGGGCAACATTTCAAGGCTTCGAAAACGAGAGTCAGAAGAATCCTGACCATGACCTAGCTTACCCGGTGTGAACACGGATGTGTAGACGATAGGTGGGCAGGGGGGGAGAGAGGGATAGACAGATAGAGCGAGAGAGAGAGAGAGTGTGTGTGTGTGTGTATGTGTTTTCGAGATAGGGGTCTGTGTCAGGACCCTTTATGCCCTATAGGGAGAGAGCGAGAGAGAGAGAGAGAGAGAGTTAGCTTTGCGTCCATTTTGCGCGATCACTGCCGCGTTGGTGTGTGCTTACATAGTTCGAGCAGTCGGGGGCGCTGACGCTCGCGGTGTAGGGGGAAACCCCTGCGCCACAGCCCTGGCGAAAGAAAGAGAGTATCATGCTGCAGATGTTTCACAACAGACCCACAGAGACCAAGGCGTACGCGTGCGCGGGGTGGGCGGGGACCTGCCTGCCCTCGGCTATGTGAAGAATAGAGAGAGAGAGAGAGAGAGCACATCCCCAAGCAAAGCAAAGCAAAGAGTATATTTGTAAACATCTGTACATACACACACACACACACATATATATATATATATACATACACGCATAAATGTTTACATACATGTACGTTGCATGATCCGTATAGAGGTATGTACAATATATATATATATATACATACATAAATAAATAAATATATATATGTATATATATATATATGTATTTGTTTCTTTGTTTATTTCATTTTTTATTTAAGAATAGATATTTTTATGTGTATGTCTGTCTATATATATATATATGTGTTTATATGTTTATGTCTATGTATATACACACGTCATGTATGTGCGCACATGCATGCGCGCTCGCATCGGTGGTCGCTCCTCGGCCGTCGAATTCAGGAAACCCTCGCAAAGGACGAGGGCAACTCCTTCGGCAGCCCAGAACTGAGTTCCAGCTTTGCTGAGTGGGTCCTCGTGGCTCGGTGGCGCGAGTTTCAAGTTGCACGTGTGCTCCATCATGAAGCCTCCAATAAAGTAGGTTGTAACTACGTCTTTAGCCCTGGAGAGACATAGATCCACATCCATGTTCACAGGTGACGAGGAGCAGGAAGAAGCGCGGTTGCTCGAAGAGGCAACCATCTTGTATCAACTTCTGTCATAGGCAATATGTTTTCTTGGCCTTGCCATTTTCACCCCCGCTCATGTGAGCATGGATGCATGCACCCCCTCAATCACATAGACACCTGATCTTGACGCTTGATGTGGATCGTTACCGAATGACATTTGATGGCAAGCTGCTCGAGCTCGCAATCACATCCAACCTGTGGCACTTTAGCTGACTGGGGTCTCAGACCCATCATGTGGCCAAGTCGAGTCGATGGGTGGCTTGCCGGATCCCCGGTGTGCGTTCCAAACCAGTCATAGGCTCACACGGATGGGATCCACGGCTAAAAATCACTCGTCACGAGACTCTGACTAGAATTAGTTGCTGAAATCGCCAGCGTCTGGAACAAACCCGAATCGCTGGCGCTTGGAAGTCACAAGGCCTCGGACCGAAAGATCGAAAGCATGCTAAGACTCACCAATGATTTTTCCTTCTGCTAAAAATTCTCAACTAGCTGTTTGTATGGCCAGTGAACTCGACGGCGTAGAATCCAACAATCAATGGTTTTGATTTTTTCCAAAGATTCATTCAGCTCTGCTGGCGATTTGATATCCTGCTTCTGGGCGGGGTTAGCGTATGATCTGCTGAAGTTGGAGAAAATTCGTGTCCAGCCCAGCCTAGCGCCAAGAAAGATGGTCCCCAAGGCCCCTTTCCCCGTTCAATGCACCAATGATTTGTCCATCTGTCCCAAAAATCTATGTTTGCTTGGCTCAGCTTCTGCTGGCTACCTGACATCCTTCTTCCGGGCGGGGTCAGAAAATGTGTAAATCTGTAACAGGGGATCTTAGGGATATGGTACGCGAAGCTACAGCCATAGGGAAGGTTTTCTTCTCGTTCTCGTGTCAATTTCAATCCCCTTCAAAGTGAAAGAAAGATAGGCAACACTTTAAACAAACGTTTTAGTAGTTCACGATCATGTCATGAATGCTGAATGCTTATCTGTCTAAGGAGAACTGTTGTACTGCCCAACTGTTCGTCTTCGGGTTTCCAAGTTCAGAGTTAATTGCAGGTCAGGGCATGTACACAAGCGATAGCAAGCATGAATCCGGATCTAGGTTTCCTGAACCAGGCGCCGAGGTAGGTTTTATTGATGGAGGGGTGGACTCATCTAGTCATGGGAACAGTAGACACATACGATCTACAATTATCAGTACTGCCAAGTAAAGCCACGGTGTTCTCGACGAAAGTGTGGATAACCCCGCGAGTAGCATTTGTTGTGGAGAGTTTCTGTGTTTATATATATATATATATACACACACACACATATATATATATATATGTATATATATATATATACGTAGCTAAAGATGCATGCGCATATTATGTTGTATGTAGAATGTATTTCCTGTTCAGTCTTTCATTGGATTGTTCATTCGTTCGTCAGAGATCCTGAGAGTTTTGCAGCTCTTTATCGGCGCAGGCGAGCGGGGCCAAGAGCCACGCTCAACATCACGCGCAGGAGGACCTGCTCTGACTTTTAGCTGACATGACTACTATAGTAGCTCCATTCCACCTTTGACTTGGGAAGAGAGGGGCATGGAGACACTGACGCAGAGACCCACGGGCAGAATTACACAGGCACGCCGTACACCATCAGGCAGAGACGCGAGCGCAGACATGCATGTACCGCGCGAAGCTTCCTTGGAGCTGCAAAGTTGATCTGTAGTTACAAGTGAAGCTGCCGGGCGTTGCAAGAAGAGTCTGCCGTGGCCGGCTGCCCGAAGCTCACCTTGGAATGCCCACTGGATCTTCATTGTGCTCGCTTGTGCCAATATATGTGCCCATGCACCGATACGACCCGACATTCCGACACGACAGTTCGCAGGGGCCCAACCAAGACAAGTAGAGGTTGTATGACTGGTGAGTGCTAGCCCTTGTCCAACAAGACAGATTTGGACCGCGGGCTGCTGAAAAAAGGACTGTGCGCACTCACGCATGCATGACACGCACACACACACACACAGAGACACAGATCAGACACACCCGCGCACACACCCAAAGGTATGTAGCAAGGACATACATGCACACATAAGTTCGAAGACGAGCACAAATCATTGCATGTGTACATGCACTTGTTCAAGACCAGAAGATTGTATCAGGTGTACTCGCAACCACTGGCATGATCGTGCACCAACAGTACATGTATGTATCCAGATGTGTATGTATAGTATATATGTATATGCATGTGTGTGTGTATATTAATTTGTTCATGTACTTATGTAGATACAGTCTTAGATACATTCGATGCGCTGGCCCGATTCGGTTTGCGTTCCTGTCGGGTATGCTCCGCATGCATGTGCTGACAGCTTTGCATGAGCACAATCCATCCGTCAATGCATGCATGCATGCATGCATGCATGCATGCATGCATTGATTCGTAGATGTTCGGTCGCATGAGTGCAAAGGAATGAGCAACTTATTGCACAACAGCTGTGGCAAACACTTTGTCACGCTACAGATGCGAGGACCATGCGAAGATGAGTAGAAAGGACGCAGCCACCAATCTCGTGCATCTCGTCAGCAGAGATGTTCGGAATGGAGTTTGCCCAGTCGTTTGAGTGCTTCGGCGTCCAGTGTCGTGTGAGCTTCTGTGTGTCAGCGGCGTAAGACCTGAGAGGGTCAGGGCTGGCAGACACCTCGACAGCCTGGTGCCTAGGACTTGTATGGTGGGTGCGAGCGTGCTGAGCCTACCTCGCATGGTGGCGAACAATGGTTGGGTGTGGGCCTCGGATTGTCCTTTGCAGAAGTAGAACTGGAGTTTTGTACAGCAGCATCTCTCATTCGACAGCAGTGCTGCAGATCAAAGGGCTTTGGGGTCTGTCATTGTTTGTCGATCTTCAGCCTACAGGGATCCAGAGCGCGGCAGAGCCGTGGACCGAGTAACTGGTTACAGCAGGTGCTTGGTCCAGCGATGGTTGTCTTGGCCGGGGCGGTGTCCTACCACGCTTGCATGCTTGCCCCAGCCTTGTGAGTGAAGCAGCTTGTGGTCAGATGGACTTATGCGTACCGACTTGGACACGTAGTAAGCGTCATTCAGTCGTGGCTGTCAGAAGAGAGCTTTTCCTTTCATTGAGTTTATGTTCACCGCAGGTCTTCTTGCCTTGTGATGGGAGTGAGAGGCCGTTGTGAGTTAATTCAGCCAGTCGTGTCAGGCTGAGTCCATGAAAAGATGTGTACACATGTTCGGTATCAGATGCAACAGGTCTTTGTTCTACCGCATTAACTCAGGCAGTTTTCAATGAGCCCCCTGCCACAAGCCTCCAGCTCCATGGGATTCTTATTGACATGATTCTTGCTTTCACGTCGAACTCTTGTGCATGGCCAGCTGTGACGTTTTAATGTTTCTGTCAGTCAATACGGAACAAGGGCTTCAAGTGCCGCTGGGGCATCGCATGCCATCTTCCTGACTGTGAAGAGGCTCCCAAATCATCTGAAAGTCAGATCTTAGGACTGTGCTCGAAATAAGACAGTCTTATAAGACAATACTATCTGATCGTCATCAGCCCGTTCAATCCCAGCTTTGGGCACTCTGAGGTGGACCGCGCACTCGAGGCCATAGCTGTCGCGCACGGCACTCATCCCAGAAATATCGGCCACCTGGCTGCAAGCTACTGCTCCTTGAAGTAACCTCGTTGATGTCTTCATGAGAAAGATGCAGCAAGCGCCGGGGGTCGGCCTGCTTCGTGGGTCCGACACCACAGAGGATACCGCTTGATTCGCCCACTTGGGATTTTTACCATTCTCCATTCTAGATGCTGATGGCCTGCAGACAGTGTTTGCCTTCGGGGGCCACTTGACAAGCCGAGGCGACGTCGTCCAGGACCGGCTCTGTTCACAACGACCTTGCGTGTTGTGGACCACTGTGCAACCGATGAGTTAAACCGCTGTTGTTGCATCGAGGCGCTGGTTTCTGCAGCGTGCTCGTCATGTCTTGTGTTGACGCACTGATGTAGCAGTCCAGTCCTTGCTAAAGCCCTGTTGTGACTCCCTTCGCTTCAGATTTGGTACATCCGAAATGGCATTCTACCCGTGGCTGTACCCCCCCGTCATGCCTGTGCAGCACATCTCAGCAGTCTGAATGTTGGAATCTCACGGTTCGACCACAGTTCCTGAATTTCCATACCCCACCGCTGGATGCACACATCGTGCGACACAGAACTTACACATGTCGACTCGTGTCCGCAATGCGAAATTGCGTTCCTGGAGTCCGGAAGCATATTGTGTCCAACCCGGCCGCTTCCCGCCTCAAGTGACACTCTGTGGTCGTTCACGTGTAATTAGAGGATATTAGAGGCCTGTACGAACACTGCTTGCTTGTGCCGGGTACAACTGAGAAGCACATTCAGATAGTATTCTTCCATGTTGCGCGACCATTCTTTACTTGTGCTGTTTTTTCTTCCACTCGTAAGCCTGTGTGGATATCACATGAAAGAAGCACGCTAACCAATGCTGGATGGTATGAATGGTTGAGTCCACTCCAGCCTACTTATGAGGAAGACGTGTGTAATCCAAGCGCCGTGTGCCTCGAGCTGGCGCTTGCTTCAATGCTTTTCGCCAGGAGTGCTTCGGCCAGAGTGGTAGACGTGTAGCTCCCTGGCTCGACAGCTCACAACGCGCTGCTCATGTTGTACGAATGGTTTACGAATCAGATGTGAAGGATCCATCGCATCGGGTATTTGGGGAGGCCCGAGTCATCTCATGACGGAAGCGCAGCCGAGGTTCTCATTCTGACGGGCGTCTTTCAAATCAGCGCCTTGCCGAATGCTAATGGTTGTGGTTTTGCTTGTGGGCTCATGCAGCTCGTGATGCGTAGTAACGACTTGCAGAAAGATGCAGGTAGAATGGCCCACTCAGGCAAGTGTGGTGTGTACTTCGTCGTTATTGGGACCAACCTCAACTACATCGCTGGCTGGGTCTCGCAGCGTGTTTGGGCAGTAACAGGCTGGGCCGGTCCCGGGCCAGTGGTCACGTACACCAGCAACTCATCACTCGAGGTGCGGTTCTGTGCATGCGATTAATCTTCGTTCGGGACATCACGGTAATTTCTAGATGGCGTGGAACTCGGCTGCCGCATCAGACTTGGCTGGCAGAATTCTCGCAACGCTGCAACTGGTCGAAGCGTGGCCCAGGTCTGTCATTGGCACGCTTGGGTGCACTTAGATCGAGGCAATGGCTTGCCATCAGACGCACAACAACTGAGGTGTGGTGGCATCCATATGCTACCTTTTCACAATCACTGCCGGAGGTCGGCGCAGTGGGCTCGTTGGGAGGGCGAGGAGTGCGGCCCGAAATTGTTCATTTACCTGCTTCAAAGCCATCCTGCATGCACTGCACCGCTGAAACGATGTTGACCATGTCTCATGCGACGGAAAACTGCAGGTCGGAGCCACGTTTTGTAAGTTTTCTCATCTGGTGGGGTTGTTGACTTGAGTGAGGCGTTCCACTCCTTGGAGCCATGGCTCCCATCTGTTTTTTGCCAAAAGCATCGTGCCTGTAGGCCGTAAAAAACGCTTGGAGCCTTGCGACGGTTGTTCATGAGGACGTTTCGGGGAGGGGGGGGGGGCGGGACGGTCACATAATTGGTTCGCGGAGCCCTAGTTCAAGGATGAGTGCAAAGTTGCTGGAGACCATGCTGACAACACCGGGAGGTGAATGTGCCTAAAGGACGAAAAAGGTCTTTCATGAGCAGGATCCTTCGTGCCGCTGAAACTATGTTCACCATGTTTGACACCAATCCCCCGAAGAGGAATCCTACAGGTCGTGAGTATTGATTTCGCCAACACCAACCTCACAATCAACATCAACGTCGCGTCATCAAGCAGCAGCAACAGAATCAGCAAGACCGGTATTGATAGCATCGCCATGATCATCGTCGTCATAAGCCGTTTAACCCGTAACCCAATGTCCTAAGCCGTGAATCCCAAGCGCCTAGAACCTAGCGGCGTTTGATCATGAGGATGTCGGGGCGGAATGACTGCATAATTGGGTTTAAGCAAACTTTCAAACACTCAGCGGGAAAGTGATTTGGCTTCCATGTCTGACAGGCTTTCACGCTGCAGGGCGTCCTGGTGAGCACGGCTCAGCAAGGAGTGGTTTAGTTGAACAGTTTGCGCACGGTTTCCGAGCATGTGTTAGACTTGTTGCTACATGCAGTGATGCTTGCAGATGGCCCGACAGCTACAGCGACATTTTGGCGGATTTTGTTGGAAGCTGAGAGTCGCGAGATGTTGGATGCTGCCGAGACGTGATCTTGCTGGGTTTCCTCAGAACACCTTTATCGAGCTGAGGCCGTCATGGTTTACGCATATTCTCCAGCAGACGTGCTGCCAGTCATGAAGCACGACATGAAGGATCGGTGTTATTTGAGAGCCTCAGGCTTGGTACATGTTAGTTTCATGGTCCCATGTCCATGTGATGGCTACCAGCAGGAGCCGCAGCAGTTGCGCTGGGCTTTGCGAATGTGACTCGGCTAGCAGCCACCCGCTTTCCGAACATTTGTTGTTTAGTCCGGACGACCCTCCCTGTAGGCAAAGCCTCTTTGTTTGCGGCATGTGGCACCAACGATCAGCTGAGATCCTTTCTCGCCGTCACCGTCATCTATGTCGGGCTGGGCTGTGCAGCTGAGCTTGCACTTGGATGAGCTTTGTGTCGCTTTGTGTCCTTCGAGCTTGTTGCTTGAAGTTTTCGGCCGAGCAGTAGCTCAGATAGGCATCCTAAAGCATCCGGGTATATCCGGGTCTTTCAGGGCCCACGATTTGCAGGATGTAGCTGGCATGTTGGCGAGCGCTTGTCCAAACCCTGGTTGCGTGCTTCAACATTTCAGTCTTCTACCAAGTTGCACTGCAACCGAACCCTCTTTGTGGATGTTCTAGCATCAACAAGTCAACAAGATGTTGAGGTGGCTTTCCTGGGTTGGGGCGAAGATGTTGCCGGCAACATTCTGAGTCGGCCTCAGCGGGCATGCTGGGTTTGGGATTTGGGGGGTTGACCTTTTAGCATGTGGCTTGCAGCAAGATTGCATTCCGGAGATGAGGTGACGAATTTTCGAATTCAGCTCAAGCTAGGCTTGTGCTACGACAAGTAGGCTAAGGTCCCCTCACGCCAGCAAGACTCACTTGCGTTCGTTTCGGGTTCCCAAGCTTGTGCCTGGAACAGACAGGATCTGGCCAGGCTTTCCTGACTCTTTGTCCTGGCAGTTCTTCAATTTCTCGCGATGTCTTCTCTCAGATCAATCGAGAACCTACGAATACCTCTGGTTCTTGCTGATTACCGCCACTGCTGCAGCGGGTACTGGGTATTGTCGATTCTCATCACATGTAATTTTCATGTCATAGTCCGCCACCACTCCTAACATCGCACAGTGTCTACTCTTCGTGTTTCCGTGCTCGGGAGTTTCATCAGAGATACGAAACCCCAGTACAGAACGGTGGGGGAAGCACATTTTTGTGTAAGTGTAAGGTTCCCAATATAGGTACTTCTGTTTCTCACCAAATCCCTTTGTGCTTCGTTTTGCAAGGCTTTCCATGTGTGAGCGCCCCGGCTGCCCTGGGAGTGTCCCGGAGACCGAGACCCCGGGGCAGAAGCAGCTCGGATGCCGCAATATGATGCAATATGTGGGGCGTCTTAAATGTAGGGTTAGTTGATTCTGGGGTTTTTCTTTGAGGATCCCATTATTCAGGGTCCCCAAGTTGTTGTTACTCCGATTTGTTGCATGTTCTAAGTGTACGTGCAGGAGTAATAATGACCAAGGTGCAATAAGACACAGCATCTTACTCTACATATACTGCTTAGCCAACCCAGAACTTTCAAGCTTTAACGGCGTTGGCCCATCTTTGGACAAGAGCTGCGAGCTTTCTGGTAAGTTTTCATATTTGTCAAAACATCTGGAGGTATTGCAGTTCGGAGCGGGCAGCGGAGGAGCAAAGCATAGTGTCAATGAGTATGGGACAGCAATCACTAGCCAAATTACTGCATTTCATTTCGCGGCATTTGCAAAGCAAGCTTGTCGAAAACTGACGGAGAAGCATCCGGGATAGGTGTCGGAGGGGGGGGTAGGGCGGCAAAGAAATTCCAGAAACCGCATCCAGGTTTCGGCTAGGTTTTTTTTCAGATCAGGCCCAGCTTAGCTCGGGTTGTTAAAGCATTGTTTTTTGCCTCTCGTCCTGATCCCAAGTTGTGTAGTTGCACCGGATTGCAAGATTCCTTAGCAACCTACCAGAATATACAGTGTTAGTGTGAAGCTCCAAAGGTGTGTCTAGTAGCCACATGATACCTTGTATGAGTGTGTAAAGGGGTGTTCGCCTTTTGTTATCGGGTCCTGAGCTTCCTGCGTCTGCTCAGGTGGATGCTTGGAGCCTCAGATGCAAGGAAGGAGGTTCAATAGGTATCCGAAGTTAAGTGGTTTTTAAGGGTTCCTTTAAGGCTTCGATTTTGCATGGCAGGTTATTCAACCCAGCTTGTTTCATGCGGTGTCAGGATACCTTCTGGCTTGCGCTGTGGTCTCCAACCTCATGGTTACGGCTCCGGTGGTGCTGCCCCTGGCCAGCAGGTGATGTTTGCATGTACAATTAGAGTCTATTTACGTTCTTGTGTCTGTAATGTGTATCGATATGATCATACTACTAGTACTTTCAACATCGCTGCCATTTCTATGACTGCCACATTCCGGACTTAAAACTTGTACATGTGCAGCTGTGTACACTGTATTCAACCTTGCCAGCCTTGCTAGTGCTGCTAGTGCGATGACTATCAACATTGATTATCCAGGTACTGCGTCTTTCGAGTTCTCGAAGCCGAGCACTCCCATTTGCTGTCCAATGCCGTCGTGAATGGGAGTCTACGCGTGGTGGCCGTGTGCCTGGGCTGTCGGGTTTCAGGTTCCGACGTCGACATGTTGCTACGATTGTGGTTTAGCTGCCGATACCGATAGGTGAGTATGTACGACGAGCACCAGTATGCTCATTAGTACGACAGGCTATTCCGAGAGCCGGGGCTGAATCCAGAGGGCTCTGTGGGTTCATGGCAAGCAGTGGCAAAAGAAGGGTGCGCCGTCCGAAAGCCCGGCGACAGCTCGTCCTTTTGAGCTTAGATCCAGGGCAGCTTCAGCGTTCACACTAGTTCTCCCGAGAGGCCTTATCCCGAGAATTGCTGGTTGATTGAAACGACTCAGGATGGGTGCTCTCATGGTGGCCTTGTTCATGCCATACTTCACAGAAGTTCTGGCCGTCCCGTGCCTGAAGTTTCGCAGGCTGGAGAGCAGGCTTAAGCAACGGAAGGGAAGGCTGGACTGAAAGCTGCCCGTGCACAGAGAGACTTGGGGCCTGGATCTCGACCCAGGTGATCTCCACTGGTTTGTTAACGATTCTGCAGGTCTTCGTGGCAGCCTCAGCAAGGCTGCTCCAGCTTTCTTCGTATGTGTGTGACGATCTTATCATCGCGGATCCGGAGCAGTCCGAGTTTCCCCCAGTCCTCAAAATCCCAACTCCCCTAAACCCTTCCCCACTTTTGGAGGATCGCACACACACACACACAAAAGGCCCACAAAGCAAGACCGAGCGGGCCCTTTAGAAGCCCATCCCAGGTGCCCGTGGCTGTGACCTTCGGCCTCAGTCGCCAGGGCGCCGTGGCCTTCGGTCCGGCAGAGTGTTTGCTGGGTCTCCTGGGTTTCGGCTACTCGGCGGAAAATGTAGCTCCAGGGCGTTATTCACTTACATATGTTGAGCTTTTTTCACAGGCATGTTGATGTTGGGATGCTGTGTCTTTGCGGGTTTTGAGGTTTGGAGGTGTTTTTTTTAGTCGGTTTCTGTGATACATCAGAGTTCGTACCGTGATCGTTGCGATCTCTCATCATCTTGTTGTAGCCATTGCCACTTCGACTTGCTGTAATGTGATCATAGGCGCCATGGGTTGGCATGTGCTTTGCATGAGGGATATCGGAAAATCTATCAAATCTTTGCACGAGAATGTCCATTGTCGGATAAACCTTCCCTTAACGGTCCCTTAACTTCGAAACGGAAGCAATATGTACCCGCTTGGAAAAGCTCCTAAATTCAGTCATGTTGTTGACTCTTGGCATTATGTTGCTTATAGTTCTGTTTCTTGCGCAAAGCTTCTTGCTCGCATCCCCCCCTGCGCTTTGCCAGGCATGTTCACTGTTGGGATGCACGCGGCTGAGTCGGGGCTCGGAGGGAGATCTAGCCGGACTGTGACCGAAAGGCCCCTGGTCAAGCATGTCGCCCCGTCATGCAAGCAATGATATCAAGCTCCCGGACAGAGCTTTGTGCGGGCAAACATGTGGGCACTTTCCTGATGACTTGAAGGGGACGGCTGAGGTCCAGTGCGTTGCGCAACCTACATGAGGCACTCACCGGCAGTTGACTTAGGAAACCTAGTCAGCGGTACGTGACGTGTGCCCTATGAGCGTGACCAAGAGCTGGAGAAACAGAGGGGCGTCGTTTTTCTTTTGCACTAGGATGCTCCCTTCGTCGTTCGCCGCTTTGGGACGAGTTCTTCACACAAACTTGTACCTTCTTGTCCAGAAGTTGATGCCTTTACTTTGGTGGCAGTCCCTTGGCTTTCTCACAGCAACCGAAACGGCATCCAATCTGACCACCCACATGTACCGATACATTGCGGACAGAGAGACAGAGAGAGAGTGCATGCCAAATGTCCGCTTGTCAACGTTAGCCAATCAACCAGCAGGTTCAGGATTCTCTGAGACCCAATGCGTGGATTTGATGGCATCCTATGGCACGCGTCGCCTGGAGCAGACCATGAAAGGTTAATGAAGACTGCCGCGGATTGAGGCTCGCGAAGGATGATTGAATAGATTTTTTGACGTGCTCGAGATGCATTGTTCACGTGGCCGAGTTGGCACTGAGTGTTTCTGATACTTGTAAAGCCTCAACCTGAGTCAAGCTCTGGACAAAGCTTGCCGGAAGCGCGTTATTGTCGACTCTGCCGTCAGGGATGCCATTGGCCTTCCTGGCACCGGCATCGCCTCGAACACCAGGCGGCGACATCCGATTTGCTTTTGGAAAACTGTGCCCATGACGACATCTTAAGATTCTGCAACAAGGATTCCCATACAGGCCCTCCCTCAGCCCAGTCTCGAGTTTGCTCTGGAGGTACCGGAGCATCAAGCCCACACAAGCTCCCAGCCGGGTAGCTCAGTTTGGCAGTTCCCTTGCTCAGGGATGGTCAGAAAGGTAGCTTGACCCGGCAGATTTGTTGCCAATTTGAGCAAGATTGCTGTTGGCTACAGATTCCACAGTGTGGCCGACCACTGCCGCATGAGAGCAATGCATATGGGTAGTTCTCTAAAATAGGTCCCTTTTGGGGTCCCCATTGTAGTACGGCACCCTTATAAAAAGGACCCCCAAAGGGACCCTAATTTAGAGAATTACCCATATGGGCACGAGTCGCATCTAGCCTTCACAAACTCGAGCCCAGGAACCACCCTAACCTTTGGAAGCTGAGCTCCAATGTATCGTTGTTAGCATCATGCCCCTCTACTATAGGGGCCTCATAATTACCTACATTATTTTGGGGGTTCCTTATTATATTTCTAGTATAATATGAATACTTTGTGTCGACATCCACCTCCAACACGGGTTTGCCGATGTTCTTTGAGTTCTTATGCCAGGTCAGCCCTGCAGAGCTCAAAGTTCGCACGGAGCATGCGAGGCAGAGATCAAACGTTTGTGCATGTTCGCATGGGTACAGCTTTCCAGTTATGACAGCTAGATTTATCTACATGTTTCTTCGCACATATGCATGCTCACGCTTCTGGAACTTCTGCAGAAATTGCAAGCACGTTTTCCGTGGCAGTTCGATGTCTTCACGAGAATATGTGATCATTCGTTGCAGCGGCAGCGGTATTAGTAGCAGTGGGAGTAGTAATTGTGGCGGCGGTGGTCGTGGTGGTAGCAGTAGTAGCAGCATCAGCAGCGATAGTAGAGTAGCAGTAGGAGAAAGTGGTAGTATTTGGTGTAGTCGTCGTCGTCGTCGAGGGTGGGGACGGAGTCGCAGTACCAGTGGCAGAGCCCAGCTTTCAAAAGTGGAGCCTTGAAGTTTGTTCTGCGTGACAGTGTACGAACTTGTTCATTTCATACATTCGTGCATCCCTGCTTTCTGGAGGGAGCTGGGTGATCGACTCGCTGCAGAGGCGCCGGTTGTTGTCTGCAGATCGATGCATCGTCGCGGGCCTTTGTGGGCGTTTGGCTGACGTCACTACATCGGTCGCCTGTTTGCATGTCTCGTGCGTTCTTCGCTTTAGCTTTAGCTGCACGTGCTTATTGGCAGCGTGGTGGCTTTGCGGAGTTGTTCACTTATGGCTATGGGTCGATTCGATACTATGCGTGCTGAAAGCTTTGAACAGTTCAGCTTTGGCAGAATTGCTGATTGGGATTGCGGTGCGCAGTTTTGGCGACAGGGCCATGTTGAAAGGTGCGGGCATGAATGTTTGGTTTTGTGCACACCGGATAAACTCGAACTGTAGACCACCCAGGCAACAACTCATAAGACACCTCATGACGACTCACAAAGCATAGTCACAGAAATACATAATGACAATACTAACAACAATAACAATAATAATAACAACAATAATCACAATAACCATACCAATAACCATAACAATAATAATCACAATAGTAACAATAGTAATAATAGTAATAATAGTAATTATTGACGATACAGACTGAAGTTCCTCTTCTTAGCAGGCCTGGGCTTCTGCTGATCGACTCCTGCTGCTCTCCGGCGGCACCTGGTTTTTTAGGGTTCACGCATCGAGTACTTGGAGGTTCACGGGTAGTTATAAGTGAAGTTATGGGGTTCCTTTAAGGGTTCCTTTAAAGGGTTCTGTAGGGTTTAGGGTTTAGGGTTCATGGGTAGTTATAAGTGGAGTTATAAGTCCCCCTAATTACGGGTAATAGTAATAGTTACCCTATAATAACCACCCATGAACCTCCAAGTATTGAAGCCTCACAGAGCAGTAGTACTAGCCCTGTAGATTCCGTACATCATTGCAGTAGTATATACCCCGAAACCCTCTTGAAACTCAGGTCCCTCTATTAGGGTCCGGCTTTCGTCGAGGGGATGCAGTCTTCGGGGATGAAGCGATGAAATTGAGAGATCGGGAGCAATTTCAGGTCAGGTGCTTCAGACTTTTGATTGCTCGTCGGGCAGCAGCTTGCTCTCTGGCTAGAAATACATTTTTTTGGACACTTTTGCAGCACACTCATCGCGCAGAACAGCGTTATCTAGCTCTGCATCAGAAACCGCTACTTCATGCCATCTTGTCCGTTCTGAGGAACTACAAGTTTTGAGGTGCAGGCAATCACAGAGCAGGGTGAGCTTTGGAAGCCCTCCAAATCTTGACCTGAAGGCCTAATCCAGAGGCTTTTTCGAGTCCACAGGCGGATGTCTCGGCGTTCGTTATTCAAGCCCAAAATACTATTCTGATACTGTTGAGCAATCTTGTTTCAAGCGCCCCGACTCCAAAGCTCAAACCTGAAACGCCCTAAACCCTAAATACCCTAAACCTCGAGGTGCCTCTGCCTCCGCGCCTGGAGACTGCAGCGCAGAGGCGCTCGGGACGAGAGAAGACGAAGCTCGTGTTTCATGCAGGAATTATCATGTTGTGTTACTCTGTCGTGCATTGTCGCATTGTATCATGAGAGACAACAAGAACAAGAATTAGCAAAAAGGCAGCATATTCCGATCAAAGCTGAATGACTTGCCAGTCGCGCTTCAGTCGTCAGCGCAGTGGCAGACGAGGCTGGTGGGTCAATCTTGGGAATCTTCGACCTGCAGATTTCTGCAGTCAAGAGGACATCAAGTTCGCCCCTCATAACAGAAACTCCACCAGAAATACCTGCAACATATTCTACTGTAGTACCTTCCACTCCTGGTCTCGTGCCGAGGGTCTGAGGGGTTTTGATACCTATCTAGTCTAAGAGCAGGCCGACATGGAAGCCGGGCCAATTTCCGGTCTGGGGCTGATTTTGGCTGGTCAGGTTTCGGGTGCTTCAGGTAGATCGATGTGGGGCTTGCTGTGCGTTCTTTGTGTTGGGTTGTGCTGGCAGAGAGCACTGTGTATCGACGGTTGCGGAGCATCATGCTCCGGGTGTGGAGCAATTGACCGATGCTTCTGCCTAGGCTGGAGTTGGAAAGTTGAGGCAGGGTTGCATGTCAATGCATAACCAACTACGCACGCACGTACAGATACATTATTACGTATACATACATCATACATGCATGCATGCATGCTTGCTTGCTTGCTTACTTGCTTACTTGCTTACTTACTTACTTGACTTGTACACTCATGCATGCATGCACATACATGTATATATATATATACATGTATGTGCATGTTCATGTACATGTATATGTCTATGTGTATGTATATGTATACGTATACGTATGTGTATATGTATGTGTGTAAACACAAATGTATACACACATGTAATGACGAGTGTTTGTGTATTTTCAGTATGTTTCAGGCAACATGTTGTACGGTGTTGTGTTGCCTCCGAGTATGATTGGTACGAAGAAACCAAGGTCGGAAGCCCTCCATGGCACACCACACCACAATCGACGCCAGCGCACAGCACTGAGCACCACGTAGTTTGCCAGCTCATTCTGTCGGAGTCTCTAAGTCGCTCCT